TGCGGGGGGACGGGCGGGGGTGGTAAAGCCGGGGGGGGGGGGGGGGGGCGGCTGCATGGCTTTTGGGCAGCCTCAGGTCCACCCGCCAGCGCCTGTGCCTGGGGCAGACTCCTCATACTGTCCCCACCCCCAGCACCAGCCAGACCGCTCCCATGGGCTGCATGGAGCTACTTGGCCAAGCCTGCAGTTAGGAGCTGGGGGCCATACTGTTGTTTCTGGAAGCTGCTTGAGGTAACTGTGGATCCTGCAACCAAGGACTTCCTGCACCCCAATCCCCCTCCCACCCTCTAAACCCTTCAGTCCCAGCCTGCACCCCAAACCCCTCGTCCCCAGCCATGCCTCAGAACCTGCACCCCAGCCAGAAACCCCTCCTGCCCTCTGAACCCCTCATTTCTGGCCCTGCCCTGGAACTAGTCTAGAGCCTGACCCCCCTCCTGTACCCCAACCCCCTGCTCCAGTCTGAGCCCCCCATCCTCTGAACCCCTCAGCTCCACCCCCAGCCCAGAGCCGCCTCCTACACCCCAAATCCCACCTCACCCCCACCCGCCCCACCCTAGTCTGGCGAAACTGGGCAAACCAGCAAGTGGGGGCAGAGCCTCATAGAAGGGGTGAGGCAGGGGTGTTTGGGTTTGTGAGTAGACAGTGGGCAGCCCTAAAGCTTAGGCAGCTCTGTGGGAGTCTGGCCCCTGGCCCTTCTCCATGCCTGTTTCCTAGCTCCAAGTTCTGCTGATGTGGGGCCCACCCTGACTGGCCTGGGATGTCCTGCTAGGTAGATTCATCTGGGGTAGTTCAGTGGCTCTGGCTGTGCCAGCCCCACTCTCAGGGGTGCTCTCCATCTGGGGCAGAGCTCAGGTATTGGCCACACAGTGTCCAGCTCAGGTATTGGTCCGCCTGAGCAACCCTGGCCCTCCCTGCTGCACCCTATCCCAAAGAGACAGACCCTGACCCCGGCTGGCACAACACTGCCTAGGGGAGGGGCTGGGGTTAGACATGCCAGCTGCTATAGCACCCCTTCAGAGAAGGGGCAGAGTTAAGGAGGGGGATGCAGGCAGCTGTGCTCTGAAGGTAGCAGGATGAGTGAGGGGTGTTGGGTTGCAGGGGGGCATGTTGAACTGCCTGACCACCCTATACACACATCTCTGGAGCTGTAGCAGCTCCCTGTCCCATCACCAGTAGTAGCCTATTCCCCTTCATGTGGGATAGGTTCAGGGCCGGCCCACAACATTTTGGCACCTGAGGTGGGGAGCCCTATGCCCCCTCACTTGGGCCAAAACTTTGAAAGGTCTCAATTCTGCCTCCTTCCTGTTCTACTCTACCACCATCTCTGTGCATCTAGAGCGGAGAGCATACATATGCACCAGTACCACACAATTTTCTACACTCTGGGTGCTAGTGATGCCCCACCACAGTCTGGCACCTGAGGCAGCCACCCCAGTTCACCTCATGGTAAGGCCAGCCCTGGATAGGTGCTAAGCAGGCTGGGCTGGAGCTGACAACCCATGGACCCAAGCATATGTGCCCCAGCTGTGCTGGGGCTTGGCACTGCTCCCCTGAGGACATCAGCTCAAAGGCTGCCCAGAGCAGGAAGATGCTGACTAGGGATGCACAGCTAGACAGGGGTACAGCCAGGATGGAACCCAGGTGGCCTGTCTCCCTTCCCACCCCCAGCGCTAACCCCTAAAGCCCACTGCTCTCCCAGGGCCTGGGAGAGAACCCAGGAGTCCTGATCCACCGCTGACTATGCTCCCCAGCACCCCACGTGCTTTGCACACTGTATCTGACCAATTGCTTTGGCTCCAGCCCTTGGAACCTATTGGGTCTGAGCTGCATCTGACCTTCTGCCCTACAAGGCATCTGGGGCTCCATGCTGAGGGCTCGCCCCACTCCTGGGTGCTCCGGGTACAAGGGGCTGCATCATCAGGATGGCAGGAAGGGACATGGGTGACAGACTCACAGCCCCCAACAATGTGACAGAGGACCCCTGCATGGGACTTTCTTGGGGCTAAACTTGGGACCACACCTCTCTGAGCCCTCAGCCTGCCCATTTCTGCCATGGGCTGCCAGAGGCTGTCCGTGTGCTAGAGACCAGGGCCTCCTCACCCAGCGGGAGCCACACCCCCACTTCTGCCTGCAGTGAGGCTCGGCCAGTGAACACTGTGGAGTTTGCTGAGCATCTGAACTGGGCTCTCCGGATTTCTAGGTCTGTCTCACGTCTGGGGACTCTGGCAGCTCCTCTCGCATGCCCTTCCCCACCATCTCCTCCATTGTCTTTGTCTTCTCTCCCAGGGAAACAGGTGGCTGGGCACCCTCCCTTGCTGGAACCATCTGGTCAGGTCATCCAGGCTCTCAGCCCTTCATGCTCCCGCTGGCCAGGCTGGGCTAGGCCTTGGGGCACCAGGACACTGGTTGCTGAGTGTCCCATCTTGGGCTTGTCCTGTCCCAGTGGCCAGGCCGGGGCACACCTGGCAGCACCTTGCTACACAGGAGCACCAGGAAACAGACCCGGCAGGCACGTGTGCCAGACACTAAGCAAATGCCCCACGTGGGAGCAAGGAGGGGAACACTGGGCTTTCCCCTGCAATGAAATGCCCCAGGAGCCCAGGCTCAGGGAGAATACGGCCCTGGCTCAGCCAGCTGAGACCAAGGCAGGGCCTCTGTGCCTGACCGCACCAAAGGAGAATGACTGCACACTTGGGGAATGAAAGCTGTTCTGGCCAGAGAGCCCCGCTGGACTGGGCAGTGCTCATGGGCACTAATGAACTGCAGCCCATACTGTCCCACCCCTCCTGCAAGCTGGAGTGGGGGGCTGGATAGTGGCCATCAGGGTCACAGTCCTGCATAGCTTCCCCTGCAGGCAGACCAGTGCTGGCTGAGGGAGCATCCCTGGCTCTGGCTGTTGCTGGGCTCCAGGCAGTGAACAGCTGAGGACCCCTGGCCCATTGTTTGCCATAGCTGGCTGGCCCGGGTGCCACAGTGAGAGTCACTGGGCCCTGCACTCGTACCTGCAGCCAGACAGGACTTTCAGCCAGCAGGAAGAAGAGAAGGTTTATCAGGTGACAGGGACACAGCATAGCACAGACTTGTCAGCACAGGAACCAGAAGCAGCCAGCACAAGCCAATTTAGGGAGAGGGTATCCTGAGGCAGCTGAGACTAACTCACACCCAGCAACCGGTTGGTCCCAGTCCTGTAAGCAGCCCTACCTCCTTTGTCCAGCTTCCCAGGCAAAAGGTAAAACTTAAAAAACAAGGAATAGTCTAGCAGCACCTTAAAGACCAACAATTGTGTAGATGGGATCATGAGCTTTCATGGGCACAACCCACTTCAGTGTTCAGGCAAAAGGTGTTACCTGATTGCACCCCTCTTCTGGGCTCATGTTACAGAAAGCCTCAGCCATTGTGTCCCTGCTGGGGCTGAAGCAGCCTCCCTCAGTGAGAGTCACACCCAAAATTCCCATCTAGGTATTGGGCAAGAGAAACTGAGGCACACACATGACAGCAGGGGCAGCCTGAGGCTGGCGGTGGCAGCTGGTGCCCCAGGTGGAACGTGCAATCAGCGCCCCCGCCTGCATGGCCATCAATGGCGTGACATCATCATTGGGCGCCCCATTGAAGACGGCACCTTAGGCAACGGCCGAGTCAGCCTATACTCACGGGCCACCCCTGCATGACAGTAGAAATCACATGCAAGATAACAAAGTGAACAGAGCAGATCCATTCACCTCTTCGCACACAGGGACACTCCAAATCCAGGGAATTCCCTGCCCCCTGGATCTGCCAAATGCCTCAGCCCCAGCTGGGAACAGCTGGAGCTGGGGGAAGGGGCCCCCTCAATTGACAGCAAAAGCCTTAATCTGTGGGGCACTAGTTCTGATCTGACTCCAGTGGGATCCGGATGTCTAGAGGGGTTGGGAAATGTGACATGGGGGGCCCCCAGGTGTTGGTTTGACATTGAATGAGGCCTGGGAGGAACTTGGGAGGCCTGGTGCTGGCCCCCTCTGGGCTCTAACTGCCCTGTCTCTATGCAGGGACCTGATCTCAGTTCCATGATGCAGCCAATCACCACCAGCCTTCTGCTGCTCCTGGCAGGTGAGAAGTGGGGATTCCCTCCAGCCCCCCTGCTGGCCCGGGAGATCCCCCACCTCCCTCTACAGCACCCCCTGCTGGGAGTCCAATGCTATTTTCTCTTTCAGCCTCCTTTCCTGTCCTGAAGGCTAAAGACCCTGTGGGTGAGTTCACTCTCCTGCTGCCAGCATGGTCCTAAGCTGTCCAGGGAGGAGGGTGGGATGGAATAGAGGGGATTCCTGTAGGGCACTTCAGCCTGAGTTGCACTCCTGATAGTGTGGGAAGGGTAGGCGCGTTGGGGAGTCCTGACACCCAGACCCCCAACCCAATGGAGATCCCACTTCCCTGTCGGAGCCATAGATAAAACCCAGGAGTCCTGGCCTGTGACCCTAACTCTTTCTTTTCTGCTCCTGCCAGACACTACAGACCACTTCTTCTATGGTAAGTGCTGCTCCTGCCATCTACCTGGGGTAGGACCCTGCTGGTTCAGCTGGCCTGGTCAAGGGCTGAATTGGCCAGCTAGCCTCGTGCCCTGTCACGAGCAGCTTTTTCTAGGGGATGGTCATGGGGAGCTTGCTGGGGGATGGATTGGGCAAGGGGAGAAAGGCTGGGGATGGGTGGGGGGATTTGATGGGGGCAGGGAAA